CCTTGTGTGAGGAGAATATCTGAGGCTCAGCCATAAGATCACAAGATTTAACCCATATTGCACATTGTCTGTGTTTTCCACTTCATGGGTCTGTGTTCTCTTGCTTTGCTTCTTGGCTTTAAGTTCTTCCTTGTTTGGTGAGGCATCTTAGCACGAGCAGACAGTTTAGTTCTCCCATGTATTTTGCTTCTCTTTGTAGCTCCTGTGTGTGGCTGCTTATCTTTTTGCAGAGGGAGTATTCCTCCTCTGACTCAAGAGTTAGTAATTTCCTGGGCTATATGGAATATGGACTGTTACATGGTGGGACTATAAAGTCTGGAGAAATTTTTTCAGGACAGTGTTTCTGAGTAGAGGTTAATCTCAGTGGTGCCCTTCTTACATGAGATCTGTAGTACCTGCAGGGATTACAGCTGTCACTAGTGCTGGAATCCATCTGAGTCTGATTCATCACAAGTGAGGTTACAGTGGCGATTAGGGAACTCAGCCGGGATTGCTCTACTAACCCAGTGCTTGAGGTGTTAACAGGAGTGGGTTTAATGCAATGCAGTTAGCTGCTCAGTGAGGTACTGTTCTTCTAACCTTGGCTATTTCTGTTCATGCAGGGTGCACTGCTGTAGTTGCCTAGCCTGCAGCTGTGGGATGAGCGTGGGATGCTCAGCTCCAAGTTCCTACAGAGTTTTCCAGCCTGACATGGTGGTATTATCCCAGAACAGGAGTATAGTAGAGATTACTCCTGCACTGTGAAAGAGGCTCTTCCTCTCCTTTCTGACAGGCAGGACATACCTGACATCATCTCAACTTTCTCTGTGTATTTTCCTATCCTATCAAAGGCCCTGCAACACGGTAGCAGCCATCAGCCTGGCACAGTTCAGAGCAGCAGCAGTATTCTAACAGGACTGTGTACAGGAGAGAGCTCAGGGATTTTTACACAAGGGAGCCGTACTGAGAAACAACCATAATAAAAGTCAGTTCATAAAAATGGAACAAAATACCCTATAGTTCTGAAACAAGTATGAAACATACTGTGTTAGGCAGCAAGGGGGCAGAGCAGGGCAGGGCCAGGAGACTGCCAGGTGTCTAGATTATCCATGTCCTGTATTTCTGCTTCCAAGGATTTTGAGCAAAACAGGACATTGCTTCCTGTGTGCATGAACTCTTGGACAGAGAGAGATGGAGAAAGGAACAGAAGTTACATATTCATGCCTTGTGTTCACACTGGAATTGGTAAAGAACATTGTGACATTAAATTCATAGCAACCCTTCAGGATCCCAGGTGTCGGCACAAACTTCTACCCCACAGCATTAGCAAATAAAATCACTTAAGCTTAAAGACACTCTCCTATGATAACAAGAAAGCATGATTTAATGGTGTTTAGCAAATGTTATTAGCTCAATAGCCTTATTAGCCATTAGCTCAAAAGCCACGCTTAGCCATTGTGGAGTTGTCCCCTTCTGTATGAGGCCCTCTCCCCACTACTCACCCTCCCCCCTGTGCTAATTGCCTTTGAACAACATCTACCTTTTCTGTGTGCCTTGATGCAGGGAGACAAGACTTCTCTTGAGAGGTGACAACGAAGGTTCTCCCAGGGTAGCTGTTGTGCTGTTCTCACTAGGAAGACGATAGTACTAGCACAGAATGAAATATGGCAAGTGGAGTGACAGCAGCTGTGTCTGGAGTGGCCTCAGATCCTATAATTACATCTCCCTTTATTACCTCTGCTAATGGCCCTCCAGGATGACAGAAATGATAATAAATTAACAGATTATGAACTCCACTTGCCACAAATTATGTGACTTTTTTTTTTTAATTCTGGGAGCTCCCATTGCCAAACCACTGAAATAAAAAAAAAAAATCACAAAAAATAAAAAACCTGAATGTCACATCAGCTATTGCAAATAAAGCAGCTTTTCTCAACCTGCAACTGTGAAGAAGAGAAACGTGCATGCAGCCCTGTGCTAGAGACAGAGGCTCCTCTTTTGGGAGCATAGGGATGGCAGTGGAGCGTTCAGCACCTTTCAGGATGAGACCTGAGGAAAGGAGCAAGAAACAGATCACTAAGGGTACTTTCTGGATGCTGTACCCTCAAACAGCTCAGGAATGCAAAAGGGCTGGATTCTATTCCTGGGAGGTGTGAGATAGCGAGGCAGTTGAATTTCACAGCTAGAGGTTCTCCAGTGTTATAAACCTATAATAGCAAGCCTGTGATTTTGGCGAGGTGAAATTAGCATTTACCTTTCATGGTCTCAAGTTTTATTGCGTGGGAGACCCCAGGTGATGTGATCTTCCCTTGTCTGTGCTGACTGCAATGATACAGGCACAGTTCTCCAGCCTTTGCATTCTACATGTGTAAAGACTGGAGGAAAAGGGTCCCAATTTTGTCAGAGGTTTCAAGTCCAGTCTTGGCACCACAGCACTCCCTCCCTCCTGCCAGAGCTGGAGTCCTTGACCACCCTGGAGTGCTTCTGGCAGGGGGCTTTCCCCAGTGGGTAGGGCAATTGCAGCTGGCTCTTCTGTTCTCCTTGGCACAGGGTAAAACATGGTCCCTCCTGTGCAATTCCCACCTGCCGTAACTGCCTCTGGGAAGGAGTGATTAACAGAGATGCTGGATGTACAGGCTACTGCTAGGGTTAAGTCATTTTTTCTACTTTAATTTGTAGCAGAAAAGTATGAGCCATGTCTGTCGTGAATCCCATCACTCTACTACATGAGTGTTTCTCAATCTTTAACAAATTCCGTTCGCAGATCGCAGTGAGGCGATAGCATAACCCCTTTTATAATCCAGATGAAGAATAAAGATGCAAAAAGTCCATGTGACTGACCCAGAAATTGGACTTATGGCAGCAGCCCAAATGCTGGGCTGTTCTCTGTGGTCACAGCTAGGAGAGGGGTGACCAAAGGAGAGATTCAAGATGCTAGAGACTACAACAGTGGCTGTGCACAGCACCACAACCCCTGTCTCAGGGCTAATCTCATCAGTTCCCTGTGCAGCAAGTGGGAGGCCTGGGGAGACACAATTCCAAGCCTTCAAGCTGCATCAGCCTGTACTTGGATTCAGTCAGGAGGGCTGCATTCAGGAGCAGCACAGTGCTGACTGCAGAAGGGTGAGGCAAAGGATGAGGCACCCCTGAAGTACTCACAGCCTGAGCAAGGGGTGGGATTCACCAGGTACAGGGCTATGTGGAGCACAGGCTGTGCTGTACAGGAATCAATCTCACAGTCATGGAGCTGGATTTGCAGCTCTTCTCCCCAGTAGCCTGGACTCCTCTTTAGCTGTTCCCTCTGGCACTCGCCCCCAATGGTTTATTGATTCTTCCCTCCCACCCACTGCTCCCCTCAGACCTTGCACACACAACACGTGACAGCTGATTGGTATCTGTTAATTAATGTGGCCTGGGGCCTCTTTTCTATTCAGTGGCCTGATAAGGGAAATTGGATGTCCAAGGGCTGCCAGGCCATTATCACCCTTTGCTTCCCCTGGCAACACAAACACAAAACATGGCGTAGTGATAAATAAATACCACTAACCCACCCTTCTGTCTTCCCTTCCCCAGCTGAGATAGTGCAGATAGAAAAAGAGAACCCACAGTCAGTCAATATAGCAATCATCAGCTCTTTTGTTAATTGCCAACTTGATAACAAGAGAAATCAAATGATCATCATGGTGGCTGGCTACCTAGGTCCCAGAGGGGGGCCAAGAACTGCAAGCAGGGAGGGCTGTGGGATAAAGGAGTCCGGCTGAGCCCAGCACACAGCTAGCGGGACTGGGAAGCTCCTGGACAGAAGCTAATGAGCTCACAGGCCTCTTGGTGAGCCCTGAGGCTTAAAAAGCATCTGGGGAGAAAACTGGCAGGGGAAGCTGGTGGAGCATTGCCATCCCAGCTGAAGGGTGCCTGGGTATCCCATTCTCTCACAGCCCTGGAAACCTTTAGACACGAGGGGCTGCCAGAAAGTACAGTCTCTGCCTGTCAGTGGTGGGCCGGAGCTGCTTAGATGGGACTGACACACTGTGCTTGGCATCCCTGTCTGTAATGGCTGTTGTACAGTGCTTGCCTCCTAAGATCTTTTGTGGTCTGGGTACCTGGTACAGAGGATTTAACAGACACAGCTTTCCTTCCCATGCACGGTTTTTTTTTTCCCCACCCTGGGGTAGCTAGTGGCTCTGTGTTTCAGCCTCTCCACTTTCTCAAGTGAGCTCTGGGGCTGTCGGGGGGGGTCTATCTCCAGACAGTGATTGCTCTTTCTGTATTTGAGGAGAATGACTTGGATCACTGCTGGGTGTTGGTTCCATTGCTACTGGGTTTGGCTGTGATTTAGGTACTTGTATGGCACCATAAAGGTGTTTTTGACAGTGGTTATGGTTGCTGGCTGTGAGGTGCAGAAAGTTGATGGTGTGAAGCTTGGGGAGTGATGAAGAATAGAAGAGAATTCTGTTCACAAATGTGTTCAGCTTTTGAATACATTTCAGTGCTCTGTTGTGGCAGGACCTTTTCTCATGTTGGCCAAAATGAGAGATTGTGATAACGTTTGTAATTCAGGCCTGTGTAATTCCATCCTATCCCATCAGAAGCCCTGTTTTCTGCCATTGGAGCTCTTCTCTGCTCTTTGGTCAGCTGGGGCAGACTAAATAGGCTGCAGTACAAAACTACAGGGGCACAGTGAGCAGGACAATGTGGTACAAAACAGTTGCTGCTACAGAAGAAGCAGAGATCACTGAAAAGAGGTTATCATTAACCTCTTTGCCATAAATGCAGTCAAGGCATCAGGAGTCCCATTTGAGGCTGTGGGTGGGCATGGGAGCAAAGAGAAGGGTAAGGTCCATGTGCACTGACTGCTGCAGAGACAGGGTCACTTTAGTAAGCTTTTTTTAATTTTTTTTTTTAAGGCAGCAGGCCAATGGGGGAGAGTGCTTGTGGTGAATTCCTGGGAAAGTAAGGTCCTCAGGCTCCTAGAGGCTTTGCTGCACATCCATTTGACCCTGCTTGTCTTTTTGCCCTTTCAGGGTTCTCCAACCTCTCCCTTGGGGACCAGATGAGCCTCCTGCAGAGTGCCTGGATGGAAATCCTCATCCTGGGCATTGTGTACCGCTCCCTGCCGTATGAGGACAAGCTTGTCTATGCTGAGGACTACATCATGGATGAAGAGCACTCTCGTCTAACAGGGCTGCTGGAGCTCTACCTGGCCATCCTACAATTGGTGCGCCGCTACAAGAAGCTCAAGGTGGAAAAGGAGGAGTTTGTCACGCTCAAAGCTCTGGCCCTCGCCAACTCAGGTACAGCCCTGGCCCAGCCAGCCTCACAATCAGGGAGTCAAGGTCCAAGCTGTAGAGCCTGCTGCCCAAGACTCTGCTCTGCCTGTGTCATGCAACATCCTCAAGGCTCCGCTCTGTCCACAGAGCAGGACCTAAGCTTGGAGAGCAGGGAGAAATGAGGCTTGCCGTTGCTAGAGCCCCAGCTATGCTTCGGCCCTGTATTAGGGAGTGGAGTCAGGCAGGGATGGGCTGGCTGCCGGTTTCTGGCAGTAAAGGAAAGGCTGGGGAGCCCTTCTCCACTGGCAAGCTGACTCCAGTGCCATGAGTTCAGAAAAGGGGATGTGGGCCACAGGTGCAGCCACCTCAGTAGTGTTGGTCAGTTACAGCAGACAGGGAAATCCTGGTCCCATTTTCAAATCCCACAAAAAGCTGTGGGACTGGGGCTGCCTGGGCCTGTCCTGGAGATGTTCAGTGACCGCAGACACTGAATCCCCCTTTAACTGGGACACAGAGTAGATCTGGATGGTAGAGAGTAAGACATGCTGGCAAGAAGCCTTATGTTGCCTGTTCCATTTCTTCTTGTGAAGAGGATGAGAAAGGCTTGGGCCCTCAGCCCAGTGCCTTCCATCTCAGTCTGGGGAGGGCTGCAGCCCTCAATCCAGCAGGCTGTGGGAGACACAAGAGGTGCTCTGTGCTGCACTGACGTTGCACAAAAGCCAGGCACATATTTGCTCGGTAGTACCTTCCGAAAGGGAAACTGCTAAAGTACTGCGTGACGAGGGCTCCCTCTATATCCCTTGAGTCTCATTGTCTCACATCAGATCTCCTTGCCGAACTGCATCATGCAGGTCACAGAACTCACCCTTGCAGCCCAACAGTGAGTCCAGTATTTGTGTTTGGCTAAAGCCCCCTTGCAGAAAGACACCCAGTGTGAAGCTGAAGGGATTAAAGAGGGGAAATCTACATCTTTCATGGTATCTGACTACTTCTCTCAGTTTAAAAAAAAGAAAAAAATGGCACCGTATCTTTAATGTCAGTTTGCTTGAGTTCAGGCTCCAGATACTGGTCTTTGTTGAGCTGTGTCCTATGACCCCAGGTCTGTTTACACCTGCCAGCTTGACACGATAAAGTTCCTGTTCCATAGTTGCATTCCTTGGCTATAGATGTATTACTTCAAGTGTAAACAAGTGGTCCATAATGCTGTGAGGCTGCCCTGTCCTCATCATTTTACACCATTCTGTTCCTCTTTGCCATCCATACTTCTTAGCAGCAGCAATTTAAAAGAAAAAAATAAATCACTTATAGCTCATTGATAAAAATGTTGAGTAGCATCTGGTTTTTTACTGATCCCTGTGGATTTCCACTAGAAAACTCCTCCTTCAGGGATGATTCACCACTGATAGCTACTTTGAAATCTGTCATCTAGCCAGTTACTAATCAATTGAAAGTGTGCTTTATTGATATTGCATAGTGCTAATTTTTTAATGAGAATGTCCCATGGTGCTAAGCCAAGTGCCTTATAAAAGCCTAAGTCTATTATATCTATGCAGTTAACTTTATCAACCAAACTTGTAATCTCATCAGAGAATGAAATCAGGTTTGTTTGACAAGACCTCTATTCCAAAGTATTGTGTTGACTGGCAGTAGTTGTAATACCATTTTATAAGTCTTAATTGAACATCACTTTTTTTTTTCCTTTATTTTGCCCTGATTGACATCAGACTAGCATGGAAATTATCAGAGGAGACCTAGGAAAATATGTGCATCATTCAAACTTTTCCAGTCATTTTGAATTTCTCAAAAATACCAAGACTTGTTAATCGTTAATCTGCCCTAGATGGACCTCAGCCAGCAATTTTAGAACTCTTAAAGTGAAGTTACCCAGCTCTGCTGATTTCTGTAAAGTTTGTCCCTAACAGATGTCTAACATCTTCTTACATAAACAACAGACTAAGAAGTCTTCATCATCTTCATGTAACGTGGGTACATAATACTTCTTTTTTTCTAAACAGGACAGAAATACTCACTGAGGACTTCTGTCTCCTCTGCACTGCTATTAATAGTTTAATCATCTCCAGGTGAAAAGACCCCCCCTACAAATGGTCATTTTTCTTCTATTTCTTAAATATTTATAAAACTTCTTTACTGTCCTTAGCCCTTCGAGCCATGGATTTTCCTCCAATGTCCTTCACTTCCCTTATCGATTTTCTACACTTCATAACTTCTGATTCATATAAATTGCTATCTAGTTCCCTTTTTCAATTTCTCATATATTGCTTTTTTAGCTCTAATTGCTGCCTTCACTTTGCCACTGAACCAGGATGGGCAGATGGCCAAGGCTGGCCTCTGTCGATTGTGGGACGGTGGCTTTTGGCGATGTAATCAACTCTTGTTAAAGAATGTGCCTCCCGTCTACCAGGAAGGTCACAGGATTAAACAGGGAGAAGGGTTCCTCAGAGGGGCTGAAGTGCTAAGGTAGTGGTTGTGACAGGATAAGTGTGACTCCAGGACATTTATTTGGGCCATGCTATGAGCAGAGACACTGCAGGACCTGAGCCTCGGTGCTGTCAAGTTCTTCACGGTGCAACAAAAGCACTCTCTGCTGATGTTGCTCACTGCACTGGCAGGACTAAGTCCAGGGTAAGCCTCATGGAACAGTCTGCATCAGGACTGGAGAAACACTGAGCAAAGACAGAGCAGAACCACCAACACTCATCAGCTGCTTTGGGGTTCTACTGCAGTGCTGTGGAGTAAAGAAGTCAAGGTAAGAGTCAGGAGGTGCAGCCCAAAGTGTATTCTCAGCTGGATGGGAAAAATCCATTCTGACTTCATGGGTTTCTCCTAGTGCAGCTATGTAGGAGCATAATCCACAAAAATCCTGCTTTGTTATTTGTATTGGAACATATGAAAGTAAAGCATGAGATCTCATTTTTCATGTAATTAAAGCCTCTCACAACACACACATAAGGAAGCTACAATAGGGCAATGTAACCTTCACAGTCAACCTTCACATTCTTTTAAAGTAAGTTATTAGTGTATTTTTGACACGGAGTAAACTTGCAGAGCCTGCATGTATGTGTTTGCATGCAAATAGCTGATTCCTAAAACGGTAGGAATGCAGACTACCTCTGGGCCAGGCCTCAGCTCCTGTGGGTCAGAGACAGGGTTTAAAGCTGAGCACTTAGATTAGCACCTGTGCTGCCTAGACCGCTTTCTGCCTTGCTTCCCATATAGATGAATTCCTGAATTTCCCCTGTCCCTGCTGGGTGTAATTGCTTATGCAACCCAGCTTCTAGGGACTTTCCCCTCCTCCATACAGCCCTGAGCATATTGACCCTTTGTTTCTAGGAATTAAAACAAATGAAAAAGAAGTGGGAGCTCACACACTGCTCGTTAGACAAGAAGCTGACAATAGGCCGGCCTTGCCAGAGCTGTGGCTGATCTCTGAGTCCTCAGTGTAATGCACCAAGGACACACCTGCTGGGACAAAGATAATTCAAGCAAACTCTGTCTTTAGTAAGTGCATTTTAGAGAGCTGAGAAATGATTTCTTAATGCCCAGAGCAGCAGGCAAGTCCCAACAACACAATATGATCACCCATTTTTTGACAGAGTAAGGGTGCTATAGACTTGTTACCCTTCAGAGGCAGCAGTCCCTTCTTAGGCATTCCTAGGTCCTCTTTCCTCAAGAAAACAAATTGATCAACCTGTGCTGAGCTCTCCAGGTTAGCATGCAGCACATGTTCATTTAAGGACATCCCAGACTGCCCAAACCTTATTTCCCCTTTTTTTTCCGCAATGTATTTTAGTGCTGAGATGGAGTGAGCAAGGTCTGGATCTAGCAAGGGGATGTGTAGCAAATTCTGTACTAGTAGGTCCTGTGAGGTCCCTGCTCCTCCTGCTCCTGCCAGAAGCTGCAAGAAAAGAGTCGGGTGAGGAGGCAGTGGGGCTTGTCCATTCTCACACCTGCCCTGTACCCCATGCCAGCAGTGCTCGAGAAGGGCTCCCGACATGAAGCTTCACTTCTGGGCCAGCTGACCCTCAGGGACATGGTCAGGCAGCCTCCTTCCACCTCAGTGCTCTGACAGCTGTAAGAATTCATAGCTATTGATTTTGTAATTAACAGTTTATCAATGCCATCGACACCAGCTCACTGATGGATTGCAAGGAAATTAATCCTGCAATGTTATTTTATTTTTTGCAGTCAGCTGCCAATTTTGAGCTTCTTTCAGCAAAGAGTGGGGGAGTGGGGCAGGCTTTGATCTTTATTTCCCCAATTCCTCTCCCTGTATCCATCTGGTTATTCAGTGCTGTTAAGTCTCATCACCTTACAGAAGTCAGATGGCAGAAGGATACAGCTTTGGCATTCTGTCTACTGTACAGCAGCATCAGTACGCAAAACCATAGCACCCACTTTGAGCTGAACCATGGCTTGTTGCCTGGTGCTTTTAGCACCCACTGGGGTCTGCAAATTCTGGGCTGTGATTACTTCTCCCCCTTGTGCCCCTAGCCAGAAGGACATTAAACAGAAAGGCTGGAGGACATTTCTCTCCAAGCTCCAGCTCTTGATGCTTCCAGTCTCCAAAATTACCTTTGCAACTTGGCAGGAAACAGATTCCACTCACTTCTCCTGGATGGTGCACGGAAATTTTCCAGGGGTGCTACCTGGCTGGGAGAAGTTGCCAGACTGACTTGGCAACATGCTTCTCCCTCCGTTTTTCAGAATCAGCTTCTGTGGCTAGCTCAGGTCACTGTGATGACCTACCAGCCCTTCTCTGAGCTTCTTTGCCTTGTCTCTTGGATACAAAAAACAAATGCAGCAAGGACAATCCCTCCTCAGTAGGCTTCTTGGAAATACAACCCTTTAATATCCTCTAATTAGTACATTCCTTCTAAACAGCTTCTTAAACAGCTTTCTTGCTAGACATAATATTTTCCCAACTGTTTTAATACTTTATAAATCATGCATCATAAACAGCATTTACTGTACATGTATCTTATGAAATTCACAGTCTGTAATTTGTGTTGCACTCTCCATAGAGATGACACATACTTCTAGAGAGATTTTGGCACTTCAGCCAGCTTTCTTCCCCTTCACTGCTGTCACACTGAGGAACCCATGTCCTCACATTTGTGTTGTATATGTGTGGACTGAGCCAGAGCACTGGCACGCTAGCCTGGCTGCAGTGGCAGACAGTGCAGCTACGTGTTTGCACGTGTGCTTGCCATAGTGTCCCTTTGCTGCTGCTTCTGGATTCATTGCCCTGTGGCAGGAATCTTTATCAGTGGGTTTGGTATCGATTAAAGGTCTCTGAACAATGAAGACAAGGGAACAGTGTCTCCAGCTCTGTCAGGGTTGTAAGGAAGAAGCAAGTAGCAGCAAGATGAAAGGGAGAAAAACCTTCAGTGATGCTGTGCCTGGTTAGCTTCTCTAATCTATCCTCTCTGCTCTTTGGTGCTGCCCTCTGTCACTGTGACTTGCCCACAAGTTTAGCAGCCTGTGTTCAACTTGGGTTCCCCAGCTCGACCCCGGACTGGGTCACTACCAGCTACCTTTGCTACAGAGACATACCAAGGAGCTGTGCTGGCCTCACAAACCCTGCTGGCCCCTCCGGCAACTTGTAGAAATCTAACTGGTAGCCTAAGGGAAGAGGCCTTGCAGGAGGTGCGGGTTTCCTTTACTGAAGCGTGAAGCTCCCTGAGCAGCTGCTGGCGATCTCTGAAAACAGGGGCATATGCACAAAGGTGGGGCTGGCAACACCCATGGGCACACTGGTTGTGACCTACTGGGGCTTTTCTGTCTTGCTGACACCCTGAGCAGCTGCATGGCAATTAGGCAGTTTAGACAGATGAAGCACTATAGCAGTGTTAATTATTCTTAATGAGATTGCTCCCAAGCGGCAGCACAGCAGCTGCTGCCCCTTGCAGGGTGACTCTCCCCATAAGGAGCATGGAGGGCAAGTGAATGTGCAAGGCACAAAGTCCCCCGGCTGACCCCTGCACAGCCTTGGAGTGGCAATATGGGCAGCCCACAGGCCACAATGGGTCACCCACCCCTTGCAGCCTTACTGTCCCTGCACTGCTAGGGCCAACTCGTTGGGCTGGTGCCGAACTTCACAGCAGCAGCACCGACACCTGCCAGCAAGGTGTTTGTTTTCCCTTAAGAAACAAAACGACGACAACACCCCCAAAAAAACCCCCAAACAAACAAACAAAACCAAAACAAAAAAACCCCAACCAAAACCCAAAAAACAGAAAAGTAAGAAAAGGAAAGAAAGCATCGTTAGCTTCAGGACCATAAAGGATTTCCTTCCTCATGTCTGACTTGTCTGTTTGCTGACTTTTTCTCCCTCCCCCCAGACTCCATGCACATAGAGGACATGGATGCAGTGCAGAAACTCCAGGACCTTCTCCACGAAGCCCTGCAGGACTACGAGCTGAGTCAGCGCAACGAGGAGCCCCGGCGAGCTGGCAAGCTGCTCCTGACCTTGCCTCTCCTGCGGCAGACGGCTGCCAAAGCTGTGCAGCACTTCTACAGCATCAAACTGCAGGGCAAGGTTCCTATGCATAAACTCTTCCTAGAAATGCTAGAGGCAAAGGTCTGACAGCCCCAGCGCCAGCCGACAGTGGCAGGGGAACAAACTAGAAACAAAGATGCAGACACCGGAGCAATCCAAACAGCAGCAGCAGCCACCGCCGGCTTTTATCTCCAATCATTTATTATGGAAGAATTATTTAATGTCTATCTGTCGGCGTGACTGCAAAAATCTCATGTACAGGAGGGGGGAAACTCTTTTAATCAGTCACCTGTTTCTCTTTTTTTTTGTTTGTTTTCTCTGTGGGAAATACCAGAATATGCTCTTGCACTTGTTGAGGCGGTCATCGGGGCTCAGCCCCTCTGAGCAGTGATGCTCTCAGTGCTGTCCAGGCCGCCTGCTCCCCAGCTCCCTCCACCAGTGCAGGAGGGGGAGTGGGGACAGAAGCAGGAAGAGAGGAAGAATAGAGTCAATATAAACTTTATATGCTGGTGTTGTGAGGGGTCAGATAGAAAGGGAAGCAGCCAGGGTCCTTTTTGTCACCTTTCTGGCTCTAATCATAGAGCAGATACTCCTTTGGACAACAGTGCTGCTGGACCTCTCCTGATCAAAATGGCCGCCTCCCAGGCTCCTCTAGCGACAGCTAACACTTGTACATACAGGCCCCACTTCTTACCGGGAAAGATGCTCCTAACTCTGTAAGATATTCTGCGACCTTGTACAGTGTGTCATTACGCCTGGCTAGTCCCTCCCATGTACAATCCCCGCAGGCCCCTGAAGAGGTAGGATGTATGACCCTGAGAGAATGCAAGTCTCCTTTTCCCAGATGGCAAGAAAAAGAGAAAAGAGCCTGATGTTATGCTTCAGTGCTGGGTTGACTTGATAATCTCTGTGTCCTGTCCTATGTGGTGCTAACTACAATTCTTCCACACTTTTCACCCCGTAGTGTATCGGAACCTGCCTCTTCAGCTCAGCTGAGTGCCATTCCCCACTTGTTCCTTGCGGCAGAGAAGACAAGGCTTTGTCTGCATGGTTACTGCCCAAGTATAAATACAGCCCAAACCAGGGCTTTCCTAGAGTTCATTAAAGTGATAGCTCTTTGCCTCCACAGAGACTTAGGCTTATTGCCAGATGCTAGTTAGGAATCAAGGGCACTGCTTTTCAGAGGAGGCAGCTCTTGAGCCTGAGAGATTGCTTTTTTGTGGCAGCCTAGGGAAATAAGAGGGTGGCATGAAACCCCTGATATCCCAACTACTGTCTTCCCCTGCCTCATCCCATTATCCTCAACAGCAGCAAAAGAGCTAGCATAGGTTATACCTGGGCCTGGTAAGAGGTTTTCTCGCTGATGGGAAAGCAAATACCTGACCTCGAGGTGGTGAGAGAAGAAGTGGGGGCATGTTTATTTACTCCTCTCGTGTAACCAGGTTCCTGCTGTCTCCAAGGCCTGGTTTAGATCTACTGCCTAAGCCACAACTGCTGCCTCCCCCAGTAGCCAGAGGGAAATGTGGGTGACTGACAAAGCTGGCTGTTGGCGTTCTCTGAGATTTTATTTTCTAGGTCACTTAGTTTTGAGCCAGCCTGAACTGATGCAACCTGAACGCATTGTCTGTTTTGTGGTCAGTGGCATGGCAGTAGAGCTGAGAAAAAGCCTCTGAGCTACATTTGAGACACCGCTAGCTCTACTGCTTCTGTTCCCCTCAAGCTTCCATCCCTTCCTGGCTAGCCCAGGAGACATGTGGTGTGGCAGAGTGGTTACTTGCCCCTCCCCCAGCAGGAAGCCTTCCGAACTGGGGTTGAGCTGTGCGATCAGGGAGACACTGGGTGCTTGTTTTCTACTGGAGCACAACATGTCACAGCCAGGCCATCAGTGCTGCAGAACTGACCCAGGCTAGCTCAGAGACTGAGGGCACTAACTGATGCTGACCTCTCAGCTCTTGTTGCCAGCCCGCTCCTGGTACTTGGGTTAGTTCAGTTCCATCTCCTTTGAGTTTTCGTCACACAGAGCTACACAGTCGTAGCTACTCCCGCTCATGTTGTACTCACTTGATAAAAGGAATTTAGTCTTGCTTCAGGCACATTAGTAAACCAACAGAGACCTAAGGGGCAGAAGGCACGTGGGAGCTGGGACTGCTTCCATGCTCACAGTGGTAGCAATTATACAGTGGCCTTGTGCTTTGAACAGATACTTGTGCTTCCCTCCCCAGCTCCCTCCCAGAGGCAGCTAGGGAGAAAATGAGAGGCTTTTGGTTGTGCTCAAGATCCCTGTACCCATCTGTGACTGAGAGGGACCAAAGAGAAATGCACACCATCACTATAGAGTGAGCTTGTCATGTGCTGCACCTTGGCAACTCCTTCCAGCTGTGGTATGAATGCTCTCACAAATGTGCTGGGTTGCACTATCGCCTGTTAAGTTTCACTCACTTGACCGCTGTTGCTTCCCTGCTGAGTGCCACCCCAGCTCAGCCACAGCACATTGTGTCCTGACCAGCTGTGCAAAGGTAGCTGTCCCAAAATGGGCTGAAAAGATCCTAAGAAGCAATTCTTACTTTGTTGGACCCTGGCTGGAAAGGTCACTTACCAAAAAAAAAAAAAAAAAAAAAAAGCTCTTCCTGCTTTGTTGTATTTGGACTCAGGCCTGCTTTCCAGAAGAAGGGAGAGAGCTATTTACAAAACATGATTCTGGAGAACTGCTGAGTTAGCTTCTAGCCCACAGAGTCTGCTGGCTATTTAGCATAGGGCTATGGTATGCAGGCAACTCCTGCCTTGGCAGAACAATATAAAGATACCAGATTTTTTTTTTTCCCAGGACCTTCTTTCTCCATTACAGCTGCACAACCTTGGAGCCCATCTGGATATCCCCAATTACTTCAAGATAATATGCCTAGAAATGTTTGCATTGCTTCTGAAATAGGATGGGAACTGAACCAGGCAGTAATTAGCATATATTAATCTCTTTAAGCAAGGAATGCAAACTCTTCCCAGGAACTAGGACAGAAACACCCGTCTAGATTTAACTCTTAAAAGGCTTGTACCATCTTAAATTGGGACCCAGGTCAGGTCTCTTGGGCCCTTCAGACCAGTGCAGGAATCACACACATTTCTTCCTAGTTGTTCTGATCTGCTGTGCATCACTAGCACTATGACACTGCCACAACTGAGGAGCATGTCCAGCTACGTAGTGAGCTGGGCTTGCAGAGAAGGGCAACATCTTAGTGTAGTTCTCCTAGTGCGCTTTGAAGTAGGAAATGGGGCTTCAGCAGCTGCTTAGGTCTTTGAATGCTCACAGTCTCTTACAAAAAGGTCTGGGGATGTGGAAGTTGAGACATAAACTAGGAAATGGATTCTGAGTCAGTGCTCTTTATGCTGTTCATTTCTAAGGTAGGAGTCACAGAGCGCCATACAGCTGTAAGAGATGATGGAGCTTGAGCCTTGGGACACAAATGGGCTCTACAACTTAAAGAAAAGCACGGCTGTAGAGGTAAGTGTTTCAGTGACAGTGAATAAGCATGAAGCCCACATCCAGCAGCTGTGGTAAAAGCAGCTCCAGCCCCTGATTTGCATGTGTGGATAACAGAAACCACATACCCGTCAGCTACTAGAAAAGGTAATTCTTCCCAAGTGACCAGCCTTTCTGCATTGGGCACATTCCTCTCTGAGAACAGCAGTGTCTGGCCTGTAATGCAAAATAAATTTCATGGGGATCAATTAAAAGGGAAGGTAAAATACCACACAATTAGGTTTCTGGGGAAACTTGGGCATTACATCTCGCAGCAAAACTGTGAAGCTATAACCCCACACAACAATCAGAACCTTGCAGTATTGCTCATGCTAAGGGGGCATTATTTTTCTCTTTGTAAGCTAAGTCATCTCTTTTTTTAAACTATTACAAATATATAAAATAAAACATGCTGCACCAGAAACGTGTAAGCAGCTATTAGAGGGGAAAGTCATTGAGAAAGACCCTAGAATGTAACTTGTTGAGCTTTTATTACCAATGGGAGCTGAGAAAAAGAGCTTTCACTTTGTATCCACAAGCTAGAATCAATCATGTGGCCAAAGGCCACTGTGTTGTTCTTGTGGGTGGGTTATATGGAGAAGCCAGAGAGACAGAGGCTGTGAGAATGATGCAGGGAGTTATAGACAGTGAAATAAACAGTATCTACTTAACTATTATCTGCTCCTTAAAAAAAAAAAAAAAGAAAAAAAACCTGTTAAATAAATTGTATTCTTGTGGTACAGGTCATTTCAAACAAAACAAGAAATAAAACACAGAAATGTAAAAACTAACCCAGACAGAGTAATGTTTATTGTGTTTAGGAGCTGCTCTGTTCTGTCCCTTGGGATGCACATAACCCCACAGAAGAGGCTGGGGTGGGGGAAGGCGTGGTTTGGGCATTCTGATTAATGGGAGGAGAGCCCCAGCCCTTGCAATTAGAAACATTCATTTGGTGTTTTCCCATGTCCAGAAAAGAAAATCTCAGCAAGCTTCTGAGTTTTTGTGAGACTAGCTTTGCTGAGGACTGGTTGGACAGGCCCTGCTGTCAGTCTCTGCCATGGACTGCTCTGTTTCTTCCACTCACCCATTTTCTCCCCACAATCTACACTTCACTGATGCAAGGAATAAATATGAGCTAGCGATGAAAAAGCCTTGAAGTTGTTCCAGTGAAAAACAAAATCTGTAATCATAAAATAGACCACTGGCTTAAACCCAACAGTGACATCATAAGTGTTGCAAGCATTACAGCAGCTGTCTAGTGCTTATAAAGTGTGTGCAAGTGCTGAAGTCATGGCATTTGCATTGATCTAGTGGTCAGGTGGTGCAGCAGGGCAAGCTCATGTCTGCTTGAGAAAGCAGAAGGAAACGTGCTGTGGTAATTGGGGCAGAGATGTGAAAAACAAGGACGCCAGGTTTTTATTCTACCTCTGTTGAGCGGACAGCACCACACCCTGTGTAAGCACTGCTATCTCTGCACATGTCACTTAGCCAACATGGGTATGTCCTTCTTCCAGGCAATGGCACTCACTGGGATGATGTGTCTAAACAGGCTCAATCAGAAGCAGCACAATCC